AGAGAGAGAGAGAGAGAGAGAGAGAGAGAGAGAGAGAGAATAAAAAAGATCCTGTCACAGCTCCTGTAACGATATGTCACTTTCTCGCCGCTGTTTCTCGAGTTCAGAGAAAGTGACATGTCGTTACAGGAGCTGTGACAGGATCTTTTTTATTCTCTCTCTCTCTCTCTCTCTCTCTCTCTCTCTCTCTCTCTCTCTCTCTCTCTCTCTCTCTCTCTCTCTCTCCATGTTAGGAGCCCCTAAACATTGGAAGGAAAACGAGGAATTCGAAAACGGGAACGCTGGACCCAGTTTTTCCAGCTTAGTACCATGCCTATTCTGTTTCTAACAGAGACAGAGCAATGGTTAATCCCTCGGAATCTGGAAGCCATGACTGCCGATGTCCCGGCTTCTCTCAACTATAACGGGGAGAAGCGTGGTGTGGGTGAGCTTATTGTAAGGGATGCTGGGACCCAGTTTTTCCAGCTAAATTGAGCTAATAATATAAAAGCGATATTCTTTTCTTTTCCAAAAAAGAGAGAAACGGCTCGGGAAAGAACCGCCATGGCAGCCCCTTTTCCTTTTCAACTTTTCTGCACAAGCCTTATAAAGCCTGAAACCCTTCTTTTTTAAAGTTTTTTTTCTTTTTCTTTTTCTGAGCGTGACATTCGTGGTATATTATCATCGAACTTCATGGCCTGAGATAATTCATTGCCTATTGATGCCTCTTCTAGCTCCCTTGGACGCCTCAACAGACGGGGTCAACACGTTTATGCGTCGCTGTCAGACAAGGTCGGCGCTTTTCATGGGCCGTTGCTTTTATGGTTCCTAAACTTCCTATTCTTTTGACATGTACAATTGTCTTCCATGAAGTTACATGCAACATTGTCAAACGTATCTCTCGGGTCCATTCTTCGATTTATGTGTGTCATCCTTGCGTAGTGGGCATGCTGATCTTCTCTGTATCTATTGTTCCAATTTTAATGTATCTCCCAAAGGACAAGAACGTATGTCCTCTGGTATTTCCCAAGAATCATGAAAAACTTCAAAAAAGTAAAATACCATTCATGGCCTTTGGAGAAAACCGGGTCTGTGTCGTTGATGAACAGGTGTGTTATCTGATTGTTGTCCATCAAATGCCACATGCGAGCGATAAATGATTACCATCGAGATGGACAACAATCAGATGGTCACCAACTTACGATGCTTGATGAATGATTTCTCACATGCGAGCGGGATGTGGCGATTTTGCTGGATGGTGGGTGGGTTCCGCGGTTTCACACAGGCGAGGCTGAGCTGCGGTGAATACAATCATCCTGTGCTATTTGCAGATGATGTGCGTCTGGTGTTTCGTAATGCAGCCATGTGCGCCGAGGGCGAAAGCGGGCTAATGGTGGGTGCTCTTGCCTTTCCGGAAGTGTTTTTTGTTTTGGTCCCTCCCTCCCTCCCTCCCGCCCACCCGCCCGCCCTCCCTCCCTCGTTCTCTGTTCCCCCGCCTCGTTTGTTCCCTCTCTATGTGGTTGGCACAGTGTGAATTATGTGATGCAGTTTCTTATCCCATATCCTCTGCGTTTGATTTTTTATTTGCAACAAGTGGACCCCGCCACGGCCACGCCGTGGCGCACAGCAACACTCGCCGATGGCGTCTCATTTTCGTTTCATGTCGCTCTTTCTCTCTTTCTCTCTCTCTCTCTCTCTCTCTCTCTCTCTCTCTCTCTCTCTCTCTCTCTCTCTC